ATCACTGAGCCATCTCTCCAGGCCCTCATTAACATTTTAACAAGATAGTCAACTAACCCACCAACTAGCTTTTGGCTATAGCCTAAGAATCAGCTATTTTTTTTTTATAAAAGGAGCATATTAATATTTCAGACATCCTTCAGACATATTATTACCTTGACTTCCTAATAAGTGATACTTACCATATGTACACTGAAAAAGATTTATAGAGCATTGTATCCTCTGCATTCTAGAAATACAATCAAAATCAACGATTGCCTAAACATAGTCTATGGAGAGTAATGTTAGGCAGGTTGAGGAAAGACCTTGTGAAACTTTTGAGTCTTTGCATTTCTGGTACTCACTCTTAAAAAGATCGCTTTCTGTGTTATAAATAATAGAGGCTTAAAAACGAGTTTAAAATCAAGTTAATCCAGAACAGAAAGCTGTATCATCTTAACACAATTTAAAACTTAGCCCTCTATAGTAAATTACTTTGGTTATACTTAAAAATTTGGTGATCCATGTGTCCTGCCATGATCCAGTGTATATTACTGGACACCTATGGAATGATTCCAATCTATGAATCCAAACTAATTGGATTCAGTGGGTTATGAAAAGAAAGAAGGAGGAAGGAGACAGGAGTAAGGAAAAGAGGATAAAGAGTAAGAGGAAAAGAACACAATATTGGGAAGGAGGTGTGAGTGGGATGTGGGAGAAGTTGGGGAAGATGGATATGATCATAAGTACATTGTATTCATATATGAAATTATCAAAGAATAATTTTTTTAAAGAAACTGGCATTCTCCTTCACTAAAGATGAACCTCAGGAAAGTCATTATTGGAATATAGGGAAAAACTCAATCTAGAAAACCGTCAAAGGGAATCTACCATATGGCAATTAATAAACTAGATGCTGCAAATGAAAATAAGGATACCACCCTGCTATATGAGAACCTGAGAACACTGAGGATGTCTGCATTCTACCAGGTTTTATTCTTAGGGGCTAACTACTGTCCTACAACATTGGCTTATTTTTAAATTGTGGAAAAGAGCTAAAGTCAGTTTGGTCTACCACCATTACATAAATTTATAAAACAATATGGAATATATTTTGGATCAATTCTAAGCACTCTCACATTATTTTCTACCTTGAATCTTGTTTCTTTTCCTGGTTTGTTTTTTATCTAAATATGCTACATGTGTTGCAAGGACTCAAGTAATTTTTTGGATAAGGAGTAAAACAAATAAAATACTACTAAAGACATACTCTGCTTCAGAATGATCTCTGTTAGATGTAGATAGCCTGCAGACATGATGGTTAAAAGAGGTTCAGCTCAGAATGATCTCAAGATCCTTTTTTAAAAACGCATATTCTAGATCCTTCCTCCAATGATTTTTATCTCAGTAAGTCTTGAGTGGAGTGGACTGTTTACATGCAGTGAAAGATCCTACTGGTAATTCTTATACATATACCAGGTATAAAGAGCTTTTGGCCAGAAGCCTAAACAAAAGCATTTGTGTAGGTGCGCCTTTGCAATAAGTAGGGTATGAGGCAGGATGAGATACACCAGGCAGCACCTTCCCATTACTTATCAATCTTCTTAGATTCCATGGGCAATGAATGGTGCTGGACAAAATAACAATGCTAGATGTAGAAAACAACAAACAGCAACTTAATACTATATATGCCAATATATTCTTTATTGGCCCATCACTCAGAAGAAAAAACTTTAATAGCTCTACTGTACATTTACTGAGAAAACCTTGCAGGGAGGATAGAAAATTACCTTGCTGGATTATTTGAACAATGTTTCTTGTACTACTTCAACTATACACTCATAATCCTTGGACACACCAAGAGACTGAAATACAAGGTCTTTCTTAGAGCCTCAAATTATCATAACAAATTAAAATACATCACTTACTTTGGAAAACAATGAAGAGAATTAAATTTTCCCTATGATTAAGAGATAAATGGTTGTGATGAAAAATTAGCCTTCTTCAATTATGATATGTAAACACCCCTAAAATGGATAAGCTAATGAGGTATTAAATAATATTGTAATGGAGCTGGACTAACTGCTGTAAGTAATTACAGCACTTAGGAAGGTAAGGCAAGAGGATTGCTATGAGTTCTAGAACAACCTGGACTAAAGTGAAATATTACATTTCAACAATGTTTTTATTCCCCAAGTTTATATAGAGTTGGCACATTCTGCTTCTACTTAGACAAAATGCACACTTCTTATGGAGAACACAAGGCATCCTGATGGAGTATTGCTGCTTTTCTGAAGACTCAGTACAAACATCCTAACAGATGCATGAAAACTGAACATTTATATTCTTTCTATTTTTTTGTTATTTGGGCTACACTCAGAAATATAGCTATCTGCATTCTCTTCAAGTTTATTTTATATATTAAAATGAAACATGAAAATATATACCTAACAACTCATATTGATTTTTTTAAAAATTACAAAGCCCATTAAAAGAATATGAGAAAGGGGCTAGAGAGATGGCTAGGAGCACTGGCTGCTTTCGCAGATGACCTAGGTTTGATTTCCAGCACCCACATGGCAGCTAACAACCATCTGTAACTCCAGTTCCAGGGAAATCTAACACCCTCTTCTGACCTCTGCAAGCATTGCACAACATGGGTGCATTTACACCATGCAGGCAATACACTCATACACATAAAACAAAAATAATAAATATTTTTAAAAGGATACTGATTACAGAAATGACCTGAAACAAATGAACATGGTATTTTATGAAAGAAATTAAGATAACAAATGTATAAGGTTAAGAGGAGGCTAGTCCTTATGAATTAGAAAGATTAGTGGAGAATATGCATGAGTTTTACTTTGAAATAGAATGTTAGCCTGAAATTTAGAAAGACTTATTTAAAAAGAAAAGATTAAGAGAAGACTCTCTGAAATTTCTTTTTTTGTGTCACAAAATGTTGGTTAATCCAAGAATAAAGTTGTAGTACAATCAGTTAGTAAAGAGGTCACTGTACCTGAGCATTTAGGGTCTACCACCACTTAGGTCAATTATGCAGTCCTTTCTTCCAACTACACAAACATTAAGGCAAAAAGACAGTTCCATCTGGCCAAGTTCTAAGAAGTGATTGAAAGGATGTACACAAAGAACAAGATGAAATTAAGTTACAAAGGGATAGAACTGACTTAAAAATGAAAGTGATTAGACCAAGAAACCTCTTGATAGGTACTAAAAAGACAATGCTGTGAACCTCATAGAGCCTTACCTCTTCTACATGTAGCCATCAATGCATGGCAAGAAACCACAGTCCTGCACAATGGTAAAGCTCACCCACCATTAATGCTGGTATTCAAGCATACTGTATGATATTTATGCATCAAAATTCTGGATTCCACAACTGGGTATAGTGGCACATGCTTTTAAACCTATACCCGGGAAGCAGAGGCAGGCAGATCTCTGAGAGACTGAGGCCAGCTTGGTCTATGTAATGAGTTCTATCCTGTCTGAAAAAATAACAAAAACTGCTAGACTCTTAGTTGATATACTACATTGGTCTTTCAAGAATTTTGAGTATTTGCTTCTTAATATCAAAATCAATAAATTAACTGCTCAATTTATTTGAAAAGAAGTTACATGTGTGTACATACCTGCACATGCCTGAATCAATCTCAAAGCCATATAGGGTAGGATACATTTCTTACTGAAAAGTAATTCTGCTTAATGTTAAAAAAGATACAAATAAAGCCCACACAGATAATGCTACATGGAAATATCTTTGCAGAAAATGAAATTAAGATAATGAAAGTCCAAAAATGCTTCCTTTAAAATAAAAACCAAACATAAAGATCCTGGGGGAAAGGAGTAAGCTATTTGAAAAGATCCACTCAGAGTAGAGAGAGAGAAATCAAGAGAAACAAATAAGACACAGACATACATCAGTCTGAGGAAACTATGTAGGTTCACTTTCTATCTTCTCATTTTCCCATCCAATTCAGAAAACATGTACTTTTTACAGCAAGAAACATAAGGCCCTAAGACAGCTTTGCACTCCACATGATGAAATCAACCTTTACGAAAAAGAAACATATTTTATCTCAATTTTCCTAATTTATAGGTTTACTTCGAATACTTTATTAATTTCATCAAGTAATATTTTATTTTAAAAATTATATATTTTAGAATTTATACATTTTTATACTTTTGTCTATTAATTGGTCTACATACTATTTTTTACTTGGAAGGTAGTAATATTTAGTTTTTACTAATCTTATTTTGAATCTTTGTTTTTCTTGTTTAGTTTTCTTTTAATTTTTATTTTTAATTTATATTATGAGTATATTGCCTGCATGTATATGTGTACCCGTGTAATACAATGCCCATGGAGGTCAGAAGGGGGTGTTGAATTCCCTGGAACTGGAGTTACGAACAGTTGTTAGTTGTCATGTGGGTGCTGGGAATAGAATCCAGGTCCTCTGCAAGAGCAGCCAATGCTCTTAACCACTGAACCATCTCTCTAGCACCTTTATCTGTTTTTTTTTTTTTTTAATTGAGACTGAACCCAGCGTTCTAAAACTGGGTTATATTCCTAATCCTGATTTTAATTTCAAATATTTACAAAACAAAACAAAGTATTAATGGTGCTATGTCATTCTTGCTCTCTATATAGGAGTATATTATTCTTATTGATTGAAAAATCAGAGCTTTTCTTGTTTCTTACCAAGAGGAGACCAGCCCACTCAAAGCGGGGAGGGAAAGTTGAGAGAAAGTCAGAAGAATAGCAGCAATTATCTTGAAAATCCTACATGCATGCTGTGCTGTCTGTCAAGAGTAAGGAAGCTATGACCTCTGGATATGGCTGAGTGCTAGAGTTTTATGTAAGTTCATCCATTTTCTTTATACTTGAAGGCAGTTAAATCTATGTTTATTTTTTTTTCCAGGTGAGCATATCTTATTCTAAAAACAATACTAATATGATAAACCAGTAACAAAATACAACTTAGTAAAAATAGACAAACCTGCTGCCACAGAAGACTCAGCCTCCCTCAGTTTCTGAGAAGCTAAAAGCTTTTCCTGCAAGGCTTTTTGGGTGAGCTGTGTATCCCATTCTTCTAGTTCTTTTTCAAATCGCTGGTTGTCTTCCTCAACAAAATCTCTCAAATCAGGTGGTAATGTTTCTAGTCCAACAAGGGCCTGTCCAGTTTCTTTATTAAACTCCTCTGTAAATAATATTTCAAAAATTGCTATAAAATTAAGAATTAAAGGAAAAATGCAAAGCTCAAAATTTCATTTCAAATGGAATACAAACTATGTACTATTACTATATAACAAACAATATTATGTAAAAAGTCAAAAACGCTCAGAAAAACAAAGACATGAATATATGAAAATCTATTCTAAGGTATTCTGGCAGATTTCTAAAGTCTGAAGAGACACAATATGAAATCCAAATTTTTGTGACTAATACTGAAGTAGAACTTTGCTATTATAAGAAAATGTTTGACTATCCATTAAGTAATTTGTCACATATGAGAGGTTACTCATAACCTTATAAGGCTCGAAACAAAGAAAATTGTTTTTCATAGTATATGGTTAAGTATAGACATAAAAATACATATAAAATAAAAAGCTAGTCAGTACTATTTAAAACAACTGGGACTTGAGAAATGACTTAGCAGTTAAGAACATTGGTTGCTCTTCCAGAGGACCCTGGTTCAGTTCCCATCACCCATGTGGCACCTAACAACTGTCTGTGACTCTATTCAGGGGATCCAACATCCTCTTGTGGCCTTCAAGGGCACTGGACACATGTAGAGTGTGCTTACAGCCGTGCAGGCAAAATACACATACACATAAAATAAAAATAAATAAGTAAAACCATTTATTTAAAAGAGTCAATTTGTACTACATACAGACACACCAAAAAACCATTATCTTTTCAGTTATAAATGTGGTACGCCTAGTCGTTTTGTCAAATGGTTAAATGCTAAAGGAAAGTTAACTGTATCACTTCAACAAAACTTTACTGACTCTTTTCTATATGAAAATAAAAAGACTACAGCACAGTATCACAAGGAATGTGCTGTTGAGCAGAACAGAGTACAGTGTGTAAGACTAACCAATGCACAACCACAACAGCCTAACAAAAGAAATATGTTATGAGAATGCAAGAACAGGGGCTGGAAAGATGGCTCAGAAGTTAAGAAAACTGGGTGCTCTTCTAGAGGACCTAGGTTCAATTCGCAGTACCCACATAGCAGCTAACAACTGTTTGTAACTCCAGTTCCAAGGAATCCAATGCCTTCTTCTGAACCCTGGAGGCATTGCATGACATGGGTACACCTCCATACATACAGGAGAATCACTCATACACACAAAATAAAAATAAAGAATACAAGTACAAATATTTACAGAACATTCCAAAAATTTTTGCAAGAGGAGATGGTATGAAGTTCAAATGTCAGTAAAGTATATAAAGTTCATAATGAACAATGGAGATAAATGAAACTGGAGGAAATGCCCAAAGTCAGAGAAAAATCTTTTATGCTAAGTAAGGTGTTGAAATTTGAGTCAGTGTGTGTGGGTATAGTAACTAAAGAGCTTGTACTGAGGAAGAAGGTCAGCTTTACATTTATTAGTTAACTATGAGTACAACAATCTGTCTCAGCTTAGGTCACATTGCTTTTCAATTCCAGCTTCTCATATACAATCACCAAGGAACACTTCTTAATCATACCCTTAAACTTCAGAGTGAATTGCACATAATTCATCAGACTGCCAAATAGTCACAGAAAAGTCTGTATTAAAAAAATTCATTGTCTTACCTTGTATTAAGAATTGTGCCTTATCATTTATGTACATTAAACAGTATGCACTGGCATTTCTGTAACCACCAAAGGAGTCCCTCACTAGTTCTTCCCATGATGATTTGGTCACAGCAATGTCATTATACTTCATCCACCTGCTTTCACGATGGTCAAAGATATATGCCCAGTAGTGCCCAGCATTAGCCTGGCCTTCATGAACTAAAACAGCATGGAGGCGATATGGAACCTAAAATGGAAAGAAAACAAAGTTGAATTGCAGCTGTTTACTACAACACATCCTAAGAAATCCACAACCACAGGAAAGCCATAGGAGCATATATTTAAAATAAAAGTAGCTGGGATTAAAATTTTTTGGGAAAAAAAAAAAACACATATCACAAAATTAAGGGGAAAAAAATCCAGAGATGTTAAATAAACTAACACACACACACACACACACACACACACACACACACACACACACCACATATATAAAGTGAAAGAGTATAATGTTCAAAACTGAAAATATACTTCTGCATGTTACTCGACCTACTTATTTCTACTGAATCAATGACTTGCAGTGATCAGTTACTACACTACATAATTAGTGCACTGTTGTGTTTTGTAATTTCTCCCAAAATTGTCTAACTTTAAGTGGCATATATTTTCTCCCACTAGATACTTCTTTAAATTAAAATCACTTGAAAATTTTTCATAAATTTTAATTTCAAAATTATAAAGAGTAAACTAGGTACAAAATGGAGGAAATCTATTATAAAATTTGTCAGAAATTTTCTCCCATTATATTTATTATAATATTTATTACACATTATTTGTTGTAATAAAGCTTATCCAAGTTTTATGACAAAACATGCAACAAGAATTAGTGTAAGATAAGTAATAAGAAGGTGAGTGGCTAGAGATGTCTCAGCAGACAAGAAGACCTAACAAGAAAACCCAAGTGCCCAGCACCCACCTCTCACAACCACTTATAACTCCAGTCTAGAGGTATATAATACCTCTGGTCTCCAGGCACACCTTTACTCACATACATGCAACCCACACACAAAAAAAATTTAAAATAAACCTTAAAAACACACAACATAAGGTAAATTCGAGTGTGAATAATTTTGACCATAATTATCAACTCAGGTTCTCACTTACTTGGATCATGGATTTGTCAGAATACATAAGATCAATTGTTCGATGGATTCTGGATATGCTTTCCTGCAAATCTAAGGATATAAGATGCGATTTAATGAATGATAAATGTCAAGTGCATTTTTATTGAGATTAATAAGATAGACACTAATGTTCTCCTTTAATTGTATTAGAGATGTAAGAAAATTTACTCAAACTGTTCTTTAAAATAACAGTTATGTAAAATGAGAAATGGTTGTTAATAAAAGATATAGAAGAAGTTAAAACTCTTTTTCCAACACTTGGGGGCTATTATAGAGTTCCACAATTGGTCACACACAAAGAGTAAGTGTCTGAGAGATGGCCATCGCTAAGTGACATATCTATAATGGAAGCTCTAGACTTAAGCTCATAGAACATAGAAAACATGGGAGAGAGAATATTAATGCATCTCTCAATTCTCACCAGCAAAAACTTCCTCATGCAACAGAGTACAATGCAAACAGAAGGCCACAAGTGGCCAAAATGTAAAGAACAAGAGACTGCAGAGTATGTGTCCCTGGATAGGTTTCCTATATTAAACCTCACCTATCCATGGCTCAAGGACCACTGCAGAAGAGGTGCAGAAAGACTGTTAAGAGCCTGGGTCAGTGTATGATCATAAAGAAAAAAAGAGTCTTCCAGGTCTCTGAGAACTTGCTCATATGAACTTACAGCAATGGTGACAGCATGTACAAGACAGACCCATGCAAATTCAATTAGACAAAACTTAGCCAAGGAACTATTGACAGCTGATTACGGCTGGATGAAAGAAAGTTGATCTTTTTAAAAGAGAGTGACTCTAGATAGGGTGACTAGACTCCAGTGAATGAACTTGCAGAGACATCTGGGGACAAAAACTAGACTTGATAGGCCGTAACATAACAGAATGCATGAAATCTAGTGGGGGAGGGGGTGGCTGGAGAGGAAGTATAACTATGATTAAGATATTTCGTATGAAACGCACAAAAATTCGATTAAAAATATACATAAAAATACAATTCATCTAGGAAAAGTGTAGAACCAAGAAAATCAAACTACATTCCCATCTACGCAGAAGGTACCAATGAATATTAAAGCTAAAGGGAGCTAACCCTCCCTTGTGTACTGACATAATACTGGAGAAGTAAAGAATTCAAAAGAAACAAACCTTTATCGCATACCTGTATATAGATAAAAACCTAAACTCTGCTATAACAACCAAGGAAAGTAAAATATAGTTATGGAACTTCCATCACACATTATTTCCACTTTGGTAGAAAAGAATCCTAAGAATCTACTTAAAGACAAGGATGTTCTCAGCTACATTTGCATAATAACTTTAAAATCTGGATAACCTAAGTAATAAATCAATAGGTTAGAGTATGATCACAATATATTGTGAATCAGTTGAAATGAATTAGGAAGAAACCCCAAAGGACTACCAGAAAATATCTGTAACTTCAGAGTCAGGAAAGACCTATCTTAGCCTGATAGAAAATCAAGTAACCATAAAGAAAAAACAGAAGAGCATGCCCCTACAAACATCCAAATTTTGAATTAATCAACATTATAAATACAAAGCAAAAACCAGCACAAAGCCAAATGATACAGTGGGGAAAAAAAAATCTACAACATACAGTACAGGCAAGACTAATGTCTATAATACAGTAAACTTCTATTACTTCTGTTAAGCAATAAGAATCAGAAAAACTTCTAAACATAAAATATAGGCAAATACTTGTTTTACAAGTCGGTATAAGGAAAAAAACAAAAGTGTTAGACTTTCCGCATTTGGTTTTTGGAACATATTAAGTAGTCCATAAATGTTTACAAAATAGACAAATGACAGAAATAAGACATCATTTAAAATATGAATATTCAACTGTCCTCATAATTAAGGAAAAGCAAATCAAGACAATGAAATATCATTTATGGCTATCAGAATATGCCAGATTAAAAGTTACCCAAGGAGTGGGGATATTCTGGGAGCAAGCTCTCTCACACACAACGAGTAGGAACGTATATTGGTTCAAAGATTTTAAAACAGAAGTCAAAATTTTTAAGCTGCATATTTGGGGCCAGAAAGGGTACTTTAAAAATATTTCTTATTTACAAAAGTTTATTACATACTTATATAGCAGGCCAGTACCATTTGTAGTGAATACCAACATGGACAATAAATAAATTATTCCTACATGTTGGAATACAATTATTTTAAAATCAGTGTTAATAGCTAGTATCAATAGAAAAGAAAGAAAACAAATTGTCTCGGGAAATAAATCTTTCCTGATCCATAGTATCAGATATCCAAAGTCTTATGACACAAGTGTCCCTCAAGCTCCTCTAACATAAAGTGACCAAACAGTAGACTCATCATATACTTTCTTCCTCCTCAAGGTAGGGACCTATCAGCCTACCTTTATTCTATTTAGTAGTTACTTATACTACTGTGGTCTAAATAGACCATTCTCTGATTCCTCTGTCACCTCTAGTCAATGACACCCATGTGCAAGCTATGTCCAAACAGCATTTTAAGAATTTCCATTTCTTTTCTCCCTCAACACCATGACTTTGATGTCAGGCTAATTACCTTTCACCTTTCTGAATATAGTCTTATACAAACAGTCTGCTATGATGAGAAGAATTATCCAACACTTAGCATAGCATTCAGTAAACACTACATGCTTTAATTAATATTGGTCAACAAATTCTAATATTAAAAATTCCTTTATACATGACCAATATTAAAGCTAAGTCTTTAGTTACTAATGCTATTCGCTACTATTAGCTACTCTCTGCTAAACTGAGATTGCTCCTTATTCACACTTGTCTATAAGGAATCAACTTGGACACTTAAAATTTTGGTATTCTTTTTAGCAGGACTTTGGAGGATCAGAGTAGGGTACATTTTGATATAGAAAGAAAAACTACATTAAAATCTAATCTAATCCAGGACAACTGGGGCTACAGGGAGACCCTGTCTCAGAAAGACAAAAAA